CTTATTTCCCCGCGGTTTAAGTCAACCCTACGTCTGTAGAAGCGTACATACAGACGTACGTTTATGTTTTCCTTTGTGTGAACTTGCTAACCACTCACCATAACCCCGTTGCAAGCCGAAATGAAGATTTGGGTCCTTTCGCAAAGTTAGGAACAGGATCCCAGTAACGCTTGTACGGAGCATTTGCGCATTTTTTTGGAGTTCCTTTTTTTGAGTCGATTTCTGGTGCTCCTTTCTGGAGTTCCTTTTTTGGTGTCCGTTTTTTGGTGTTTCTTCCTCCGCCTAGGGGTGTTTCTGCTCTGTGGAGAAGTGCCCCCCTCACAAACCCTCTGCAACTAAGTCCCCACAAAAAAAGAAAAAGACAGACACCACACAACTATGTGGATAAATGTCCGGTACAATGGCGTACAGAGCGCGGTGAAAAATGTCAAGTGCATATACCAGTGGAACCGAGAAATTAGCACAAGCAGGATTTACAGAGACAGAAAAGAAAAGGTGGTCATCCTGGGTTCAGGATGGGGTGGTATTCACTTTTTTATAAACATCGATTTTAGAAAGTACGATGTGACTCTAATCTCTCCCAGGAGTTACTTTACCTTCACCCCTTTGCTGCCCTGTGTGTGTAGTGGAACCCTCAGCGCCAAAGTGTGCACAGAGAATATTTCCACCTTTTTGAGAAAAAAGGGATCGTCAGCTAGGTATCTGCAGCTCGAATGCACAGATATACTCCCCGAAGAAAGGCATGTGATATGTAAAGACAACAAAAAAAATGAAGTAAAAATTGCGTACGATTACCTAATCATATCCGTAGGAGCTAAGACGAATTCTTTCAACATTAAGGGGGTTGAAAAACACGCCTTTTTTGTGAAGGATGTCCCAGGGGTGATAAACATCCGCAAGAGGTTCCTAGATGTCCTAAACCTATGCTCCACGGAGAGAATCTCGAATGAAGAAAGAAGACAACTCTTACACGTCGTAGTGGTTGGAGGTGGACCCACAGGAGTGGAAGTCGCAGGAGAGTTCGCTGACTTCATTAATAAAGACGTCAAAAGGAAGTATAAAGATATTTTCCCTTTCATATCTGTGAGCATTATCGAAGGCGGGAAGAATCTACTGCCCACCTTTACGCAAAACATCTCCGACTTCACCAAGAAGACATTCCTGAATTCGAATATCAACGTACTGACTAATTACTACGTAACAGAGGTGGACGAACGTACCATATGCATCCAATCTAGTGCAGATAAGGATGAAAAGAGGAAACACATCCCATATGGTATACTCATTTGGGCCAGTGGATTAGCACAAACTCCTCTCATTACCAATTTTTTGAAAAAAATACCTGAACAAGTCAACAATAAAATTCTGAACGTAAATGGACATCTCGCCGTTATCGGAATTAGGGAAAAAAATATTTACGCGATTGGAGATTGTAAAAAGATACAACCTCTTCAGCTGCATGAACATTTGAATGACGTCCTGAATCATTTTTCTCCCGGCTGCACGAGTTTCTCTTCTGATTTGCTTAAATCCAAGGCGAATGAGTTGTCGAAAAAGTTCCCACAAGTCAGCCAATCCAAGTGGGACTACAAAAAAAATAAAAGGACCCAAATGGACAAGAATCAATTTTGTCATTACCTAAAAGAGATAGACCAGAATTACCGGTCTCCCACTCCTACTGCTCAGAATGCTAAGCAGGAGGCCTATTTTTTGTCCAACCTTTTTAACACTCTGATGGAGAAGAAAGCTGATGGGAATCACTTCCCTTCTTTTGTCGAAAAATGGAAAGGATCCATCGCTTACATAGGAAGTCACCAGGTCGTGGCTCACCTCCCCTTCTTAGAAATTCGGGGAGGGCTCTTCTCCTTCACCTTCTGGAAAATGGTGTACATACAATTGCTCCTGACGTGGAGATCTAGATTTGCCTTTATTCTGGACTTTCTGCGCATCAAGATTTACGGCAGGCCCTTTTCCAAATGACGGCTCGGGTGGAAGCCGGAACTCAGGAAAAAAGAGGGACTAACCCCATTCAAGTTCCCATCACGGTTGAAAGTGTTACTACACATCTGCGCGAGTAGCTATTTGTCCCACCACGAAAGGAGTCACAATGAGTATGTGAAATATATCAACAGTTTCGATGCCCCATGTTTAAGCCCCTTTGTTTTTTTTTTCTTTTTTTTTTTTTTTGGTCCATTTTTTGGATCATAAGGACACAACATGGTGACCGGTGGATTCTACTTTGGGTAACATTCACCCAACACAGACTGACACATACACACAGGTCTTCCTTTGATAGGACCATTTGTTACGCGACACCATTTGCAAATACGTATCGTCATTTAAAAGTAAAAGAATCAAACAATCGGGAAGTTTATACATGTACACAGTTTACGCGCCGAGAATTCGGATGCGTCTGCACCTACCTATCTGCCATTTTTAGCGACTTGGGGATGGCACACTACACGAGTCTAAACCTGCGACGCCCACATTTTTGGGAAGAAGTGGAGTTGGGCGGATGGTAATGGTACCCTGCTGGCTTCTCCAAAGAGGTGATAAAACCCGACTCTGTAAATTCTCCCCACGATATGTCACATAAAAAAAAAAAAAAAAAATCGCAAAGTAGAAGTTATTTTTAAAAGGATGCAACATTCCCTGCACATTTGAGAAGATTTCCCCAAATGAAGAAAAACTTCTGCTCCCTCTACCGCTACGCATTGAGGAGATCCTTTTCAAACTGCTCCAACTCTTCAGCGTTGAACGTATTTGAATCTATGTCAAAATCAAGTACATCGGAAAAATTTAGCTTATCAAGGTTTGAGTCGCATTCTTTTTGTGACTTCTTGTTGTCTTCCTTTACGCTCCTGAGGGATTCACCTTCTGATTTTACCCTAACGGTGATGTCGTTTTTCTTTTCAACTTTGTCATTCCGCTTTGCAGTACTGTCATTGGGAGTGGGGAGCATCGACGTGTTCGCCCACTCGTTGGTCCCCTCCTTGGGCTTGCTTTCTGGCCAGGACATCTTCACCTCTCCGGCGTCACTATGTAGGGGTTCTTCCCCCCCGTGATGATGCTGCTGCTCATGATGCTGATAGGCGGCATTAAACTTTTCTTCACCAGCCAAGCTGCCCTCAACTGCGTTTGAATTTTTTGTAACGTCCATCATGGGGTCTACATTGTCATTCCCTTTCCTTCTTTCTTCATTCAATGTGTTCCACTGATTCAGCTCGACAAACATGGGATCATATTTCAAGTTATCATATAGGAATGCTTTGTCTCCTCCTTCGTCAGTATGCAGTACTTTGCAATCCTTTGATCCACCCGCATGATGAGTAAGAGGTACTTCCCGCGCAACATTGGGATCATCGGTCTGTGCAACCTCCTGCTCGAGCGGTACACAATCGTCAAGTTCTTCCTTCGTTTCCTCTTCGTCCAGGTTGGCATGGATGGAGGCTTTTTCCTTCTTCCCTCCGTCGTCCTGTTCGTCATCCCCTTCGGCGTCCTCTTTGACCAACTGTTCACTCACCCGATAATGCGCACTAACCACAGCGGCATCGCTTGGGCCATTCCATTTTTCATTCGAGGGTGCGCCCTCCTCATGTGCCACACGCTCCACCTTATCGCGAAACGCGGAACCGCCTTCTCCGCCGTTGCCTTCCCTGTCGTTTTGCTTCAACGCACTATAGGTCCTTTCATTTTGCTCCTCAATAAGATCCAAAAATTCCATATTGCACTTGGAAATGGTTAAAGAGTCGAGCTGATCATTAATCGGTTGATCCCCTTCGACAGGATTCTCCTCCTCAGCGTCAACATCCACTTTGATAGTTTCCCCCGTTGTCCTATGCGAGATGGCACTGACTTCCACTTTTTCGTCCTCCCTTTTGTTACACGCTCCCTCAAATGACGCCTCTATCGAGTGATCAACCAATTCTACATTGGAGTAACCTCCTTGGCCCTCCTCCCTTTTAATCTTCTCAGTGTATTCCTTCGTGTCCGCCAAGAGGCCACCGAACGATTCCGATTTGTCTCGAAGGTTTACGAAGATATCATTGTCCATGTAAATGTTGAGTCCGTTAATTTGGGTCTTCGTCATTAAAAACGTGTCATCCTTCGGTGTGATCGAATCAGTTTTTCTAAGCGGCTTTGATGCAGAGTTACAATCGAGTGTTTCCCCATCGGTGCCTCGTGGAAGGGCTGCGCCACTCTCCTTTGTCGGTTCTTCTGGCTGGGTTAGCCAATCTGAGTGATTCAAACTCTGGAAGCTGAGTAAATTCGAGGTGCCATACACTTCCGATGCGGTTGCTTCTCCCTTGGGCTCTTCTTTTCGGCATACGTTATTGGAGTTTTCTCTGTGTTGATCCCACTCCGTGGGTGCCTCCTCCTCCACAGGGAGCTCCAACTTTGGAAAGCTGAATTTTTTCGTTAAGTGCACCTCTCCCGTTGTTCCTTCCACGGTGGTTGCTTTGCCATTCGTGGGAGGGGTCCATTGGTTTGCAGCATGAGTGGATGTTACCGCATTGGGTGTTACCTCATTGATGGTTACCTCATTTGGTGTTTGCCCAATGGGGGACTGCTCATCCTCCGCGCTGCTACCACATGGAAGCGGCACAAAGTGTAATGGCCCATCAGCGTCGGGGAAATTCTTCATACTCTCGTAGATATCGTCGGCAATTTCGTTGTATATAATGTCAATGTTAAAAAAGTAGGACCTCCAGAAATCCAGCTCAGACATGTAGAAGGGCACGAGAAATCTCTTCGTTCGTTCCAAGTTCGGATCCTCCAAGATTATCTTTTCACTCTGTTCCTTTTTTTTGTTCCAACTGAAGTTGTAATTGTGCAAAATATCTGTGTGTAAAATTTTATTTCGATCGACATTTAATTTTAAAATTTTTTTGTACACATATGAGTTTAAATTGGGGTTCGGCAAATTGAGGGGGAATCCCTCGTCGTATTTTTTCCGGTAAATCTTGGAAATCATGATGTCTCCCTTTTTCCAGGGTACGATTTTGGACAAGTATAGCTTCTGCTCCTCGGAGCGGCCATCACTGGGAAGGAGCTCATCACCCCCGCTGCTCAGCTTGTCCTTGTAAATATCCCCCACAATCCGCTTAAAGCTGTTAAACCCACTGAGAAGTTTCTCATTGTAATATTGGAGCTCCGGGAAGTCCTTCCCACTGATGTACTTGTCGTTTATTATGTGAAAATTCTCCTGTATGGAATTCTTTAGGCTCGTGTCTTGGGGGACCTGCGTAGACCCCCTCTCCTGGCAACTCGCGTTACCTTCATTGGAGGACCCCCCTAAAGGATGGTTGCCGTTAGAGTTAAATTCTTGAAGGCTGTTATTTAAATCTTCCGCTTTCTTTTTTATCTGCTCCCTGACTTCCTTCCATAAGGAGTACATCTACCGGGTGGGCAAGGAGTGTGAAGGAGTAGAGAGGTGGATAAGGACACGTGGGGGAAACGATGGAGGCAACGTGCTGTGGTTTGCCAGGTGGGGAGGAATTCCCCTAAGGAAGGTTCCTCATTTACCATGCGGAAGGTGTTCGAGGGGGGGAAAGGCAAAAGAGTTGAACAGAGGTTATAACTACACACGAAACATCCAACCACATTGAGGATATATAGCGAACTGACTACAATTCGTATGGCCCTTAAAAAAATGGCCACAAAGTGAGGAACAAAAACGTTCACCAGAAGTTGCAGTCCATACAAATCGAAGTCACACAATTGCCTCTATAAATTGCATGGCTTTTTTATTTTTTTTTTTTTCCCAGCTGGGGTGAAAATTTCTTCACATTTTTGAAATTTTCTCGAAACAAAAATTGATGTAGATTTTTCTCGTTTACTATTGTTTGTCCCGCAAAGTGCACGTTAATTTTGTGAGTCCCCTCTTTTGTTGGCAAAAGTGGGAAATGGAAAAAATATGGCCGAGGTAACCAAATGGGAAATAAAAAACTTATACAGGTGGAACGTATGCGTTACGCTCCTCTAAGTGACCCATATATTTGTGTGAAAACGGTTTGCCCCTTCTTTTCTGTTCACATTTTGGACCGGCAAACACCTGATTGTTTTTTTTTTCTTTTTTCATTTGGAAAAATGCATCCCTTTCTTGGTTCACCTGCTTAAGAAAAAAAAAAAAAGACAATTGTTCACCGCTGCCCATTGAATACTTTTCTTCTTTTTGTTGGGGACCATGTGAAACCACGTGCTGGTGCGATTTCCCTACAAGGAAGGGATGCTCGCAAAGGTGTGGGGATACCTTCGAAAGTGGGTGAATACATGTTAGCACAGGTTAACCCATGTTGACGTTTGTAAACAGGTTAATCCATGTTAACACATGTAAAGATACGTGTGCTTAATCGCGCGATGGCCAATCCTTTTGTTGAAGCACATTACACGTGACACTCGGTAGCGGCACGCTTGCGTGTTGAACATGAATTTGCCCCAAGGCTCATACAACTATCAAGAGATGAAAACGCAGTCAGATGGATGAGTGCACCTGGGTGATAATTCCCCGTTTGTGTTTCTCGTTTTTTTTCATTTTTTTCGTTTTTTTGATTTCTTTCGTTTTTTCGTTTTTTTTCTTTTTTTTTCTTCGCTTCATGCCTCCTGCTTCAATCCGAGAGGCTAATCCGGTTCGGGAGAAATGCATATACCAAGGTAGGCAGTGGCCCACATCAAATGCTCCATCCAGTTTGCAAACAAATGGGAGATTTTACAATTCCCCCCCTTATGAGTTGGAAGGCGTGGGAATATCCCTGATCACGCGCATATGTACAGATTTACACGTGTATGTATGTGCGCATGCATGTATGTATGCACATTCGGGCGCTCTTCCCCTTTAAGTAGATAAGTACGCATGCATAAGGGCAGAGAAGCGTACCGGCGCATACATACAGGTACCAACTCGTACAAACGCGTACATCCTTGTGCCTGTGTTCTTATTCCCCTTGTACAATCCCGTTTCCACCGGAGCGACTGGTTCGTACGCGAAGTACACGGAGAGATAACATAAGGTGGTGCCTCCTTGTGTGTCAAAACTGGCCCATGTCAAAAGGGTTAGGGGCCAGCACGCAGCAGTACTTTTCCCCGGCTCTGCCGCTTCTTACGCAGCTCGAAAATGCAATGTTGGCAGACGATCCCATAACTATATCATAATGGCATAGCTCGCTGAAGTACGTACTCATGCTCACACCCACACGGATGAATGTACGCATGAACATTTGCAGGTGGACTTCTTCACGTGACCCTGCGGATGGGAACCACATGTGTGCACCTCACACTCGTGTAAGGGCAGCGAATTCTTCCCTACGCGAACGTTCGCTAAAAATGTATCTAAATGGTGGGCGCGCGAGGTAGGCCTAGGGGCATATGTATTCTTCCCTATATAGCAGAGGCTCGCGTCTTGTGTAACACTTCCTCTGTGTCTGTGAGAAGCAGCTTGCGCATCCTCTATCCCGTCTTCACTGCCTTGAAATGGTGACGCGCAAACAGGCAAGCGTTACTGTATGAAGAAGTTGATACTATTCGAAGGGGGGAGGGGAAGTGGCATAGGTGCCGACTAGCAGATCCACCGATCTGCAAAGACAAAGTCTATTCTTGCACACAAATTAACATAATAAATAAATAAAAAAAACATCGGCAGCGTCTGGACCCTCGCACCATGATTTCAAAAGAACAGAAATGTTATGTGTCCCATCGAATGAGAGGCGCTGCACGCAAATGCACCAGCCCGTTTGATAGTTCGCTTGAACCGCCACCTGAATATGCACCTTACCCCGTCGCACGAACTACGGAAACTTCCCTCCCCGCCCTTTCCCCATGCATGTGCTAACTAGACACACAGTCCATAAAAATGAATGAAGAAATCGATAAGAATATAAAATTAAATAGCAATTTCATAGAGTTTGAAGAAATAATAAAAGACATCAACACCCCGTTCAGTTTTATTGACTTGGTTGAAATTCCTTGTGTGCCTTTAGTGGACATATATGGATTGTCCCTCCTCAGCAATGAAGCATATTTGGAATATAAAAATGGGTTAAGGGAAGACAAGCTAAATCCAGAAGATGAAATTCGATTGACTCTCTTTTTTGCAGTAAAACTATACAAAAAGAATGTCTTAAAGATAAAGTTTCCTTCCTACTATGACATCATCGAAACACTCAAGTTTGACCCTGTGTCTGTTACCATAGGGCTGTTTAACCAATTTTATTTCGAAACCGCATACGAGTTGTGTAATTTATTGCCAGTTAGTGAATGGCCGTCCACCAATTTTTATGACATTTTGAGAAAGGCAGAAAAGACTAGGATACATTTTTTGATAAACAACAAAACGAAATTAAATTCGTACTTCCTGGAAGGACTCACAAACAAGGAAAAAAAAATTTACAAATACTTTATTGAGGGGACTTCCAAGGAAAGGGAGTCCATGAATAAGGAGACTACGCTGTTTTATTTTTACGAAAAGGACAAATGATGCAAGTAGGGGAAAGAAGGGGGGAGGATGAAGCGCTTGTAGGAAGCACTTGTACGGCGCACTCGTAGGAATCAATTGGAGTACGAACGTGCGCGCATGATCCATTTTTTTCCCCTGCGCGTGGACAGCACTTTGAGTGAAAACGTTCGGGGCGGTCTTAAAGGACACCATCAAAGAGTTGTATGTCGCACTGGAGCGGTTCATTCGGACGGGAGAAGAGGTCGGTTAGTGGAGGGGATGCCTGTTGCAACTTTGGACGCCTCATTCTTTCCTTTGTAGTTTTTCTCGCGGGGGCGAATTCATCCTTACCTTGTAAACGCTGTGGTCTTTCCCCCGTGCGAGTTTTTAGCGTCACTTTTTTGTGTTATATATGGGAGTTGCTCCAAGCACATTTACGTTTTGCCTCTCGCGTTTTATTTGTTAACTGTTAACGTCGGTTGCCTAGCTGGCTAGCTGATTATTTTTTTTTTTAAATTCCATTATGATGATTTGTTAATGCAGAAATGGAATAGCTACTTTATTTTGGAACAATTTTTTTTCGTTATGTTTAAAAAAAAAACTCGGAAAAGAAGCCAGTAAAAAAAATATAAAGCGTTAAAATGTTAATTATGCATGTGCGTAGTTAACAACTTTGTGGAGTGGTAGCCGTTGGGGCAGTAGTCTGACATGAGTCGACTGGAACCCCTTTTTTGCCATTTTCCCAGCTGCACACACATTCGGGGGGACGCAACATGGGGATAAATAATTATGAACAGATTATTTCACACGCGCGTTTATTGCGTGCAGAGGGAAGGCGGAAAAAGGATTGTCCTTTTGGCCGTGTTGCACAAAAGTAGACATGGCGTAATACACCCTTCAGACAGGCGTCATGGCGGCAAGGGAGATAATACGCCTCTTTCGGCGAGATCATTCAGTGGGTGGGAGACAACCATTCGCAGGAGGAAAGGATCTAAATACTATTAAATGGTCTGTGGATAAAGGACAAATTAGTTTCTTTGCAGGTTATTTTCCCATGAAGCAAAAATGATAAAAGGGAAAAAAAAAAAAAAAAAAACAGTTGTTCGAAATTAAATAGCCTAACTTGAGAGTGTGCCTATTTTGCAAATGATGAATAGTAAAAGTGGGGGAACAAAATGGGGCCGTGTCACTAAAAATGACTCCGCGCCACCGGCAATTTATGGCAATGACGCGTGAAAAGAGGAGGCTGACTTAGGATAAATCGCAATCAACTGCGACATACCGCGAACCCCACAATGCATAAAAATCGACAACATAGCTAACTGTACAGCCGCAGGTAAAAAACATTCATGCGGGCAGAATGAAAATGATAAAAGTGAAAGTGAGGAAGGGGTGACACAAAAGCCTGACTTAGGGTTAATAGCACACACACCAGTGTCACTGTATAATATCACTCAAGGGGAATGTCATCTGCATAGACGTACATACGTATGTGGTGGGTAGATTAAAAAAAAAAAAAAAAAGGCATTTGCGCATTAAATGATGTGCAGTTAGCGCACATAAAAAGCGGCAGGACTTGCCGCGAGTAGGGGTAATTAAAAAATGTGGAAACTAATCAATGGGGTGAAATGTGGCACATGAGTTCATAAATATGTATACACCCTGTACGTATGCAGAGCTAACTTCTTAGTAGTAAAAAAAAAAAAAAGGCGGCAATATCGACTGGGCATACACAACAAGTGCGTAGATACGTACGGAGATATAAGCTGCCTATACAATTGCTCCGCGCAGAGAAAAAGAAAGGGGGTAACTCTTCAGGTGGCAAATCTTCACCATGTGTTCCTGTTGTTACAGTTGTTACTGTTCTTCTTTTTGTTCCTCTTTCTCACCCCGCTCTCCCCGTTTTAAGAGGAAAATGCCTTCACTTCTTCTCCGTAACTTTTAAATACACACAGCACAGCAGCGTGACCACCCCGAGGGCGTTCAACCCGTAAGTCACAGGCAAGTGTTTCCTATCGCCAAGGTACACATAAACCACGTCGGTCAAGTAGGTGAGGTAAAAATTTATAATTAGGCACAGTGCACTAAATGCGAACATAATTCCGCACAGCTTTCCGAAATGCTGCTTGGAGTATTTCTCATCGACATAGCAATAGAAGCAGGAGAAAACGAAAGATATGTAAAAGAAAAACAAAATGATTGCCATGATTCTGAAAAAGTACCCATCGAATAGGATCAAAAGATATGTCAGAAATATAAACACGTTATTTATTAATATACTGTATATAGAACCAAACTTTCCAGCGAGGTAGCCAAAGAAAGGGGTTGGGATAAAGGACAGAATAGTGGAAAGAGAAAATATTGTCGTGAGGTCATTATCTTTCCATATAAAAAAGGATCTGTTCGTTTTTATAAAATAATCAAATCGAATCATACTGGAACTGCATATAAATAAGGTGATTAAATATTCCCATTTCTGAGGATGATTCCATAAAGCTTTTATTTTATCTGAAAAGGTAGAACCCTCATCATTATTGTATAAATTCTTATCTGCACTTTCGATTCTGTCCATTTCGTTCATCATACTTATGCTTCTTTTCTTCTCTGGGTTTGAAGATCCTGTGGCTCTTTCACTGTTTACTTGAGAATCTCCGCTCTTCTTACTCGGTATGATAAAGATACCCACAATAAATGCATACAAGCTACATGTGCACAGGTAAAATAGGCACAAAATGTAGAACTCGTTATCCTTAAATTTGTACAGGTAGAAGAAGGCATATTTTAAAATCGACCCAATGGCGAACCCCGTGGATCTTGCTGAGCCCAGGATACCAAAAATTAGGGACTCTTGTCCAGGGAAGTACTTGGATATCTTTAACAAGGGAATGAAGGACAAGTCTGCTGAAATACCGAGCATTAAAAAGAACAAATACCATACGTAGGAAAACTTGCACACGGCTAGGGATAGAAATGCTCCTGCTAGGATTATTTGGCCACTTAGAAAACAGACCTTTTCTCCAAAGGTATCCAACACGTAGCCACTTACTGACGATAAGAAAAAATGAACAAAGAAGGCCAAGGTAAATAAATTGTTCACAGCTGCGTCTCGATTCCCACATGTCATATAGGATATATTTGCGTCCACTTTAAATTCCTTCATGTCATCCGTCGGCCCACATAATTCGCTGAAGGCACCTGACTTGTATATGATTGGCTGCCAGCCACTGAATCCTGAATGGACGAAAGTCGCCATTGCCGCCACTATGGAGTACATCCCGACGGCCACCCATTTGTTCACCCTCAGGTCGTTCGACACGCTCTGCTCGTACTTGAGCTGCGATATGTCTTTCTTCAACTTCTTGTGCGACATGGTGAATTAACTTCGCGTGTGTTAAGCACCGTAGTTAGATTCTTTGCTTAGCTGTGCTCACCGCACGTGCGCGGGGCCCCCTATCAACTGGCAGCTATCGAACCTCTGATGGCGGTCCCCTTTCGCCCCCGTTGTTTGGTTCAAACCTGTGCCACTTCGAACCGGTTTGGGCACGGGCCCCCCTCTGGCTGCTCCACGTGTGCGCTGTTCTTCTTCCCCGCTCGTTTGGGTATCCTTCCAAATGCGGTGGGAAAAAAAATAAAATAAAAAGAAAGAAAAAAAGGAAGCAACAGCAGCAAAGGGGTCACTTCAACTGATGCAACAAAATGTTACGCTTTAATAACATTTACAACGTTCCACAAGCGATTGTAAAAAACAGAAAAATGTTATAGGGAAGCTGCGCAAAAATTTAACCAAGCCAAAGCGAACACAAGTGGGAAAAAAAGGCGGAGAGAGGAAAAAATATATATAAAATATAGAAAAAAAAAATAAATAAAATAAAACAAAACAAAACGAAAAATTCGGAAGAACAAAACAAAACAAAATTAAAAAAAAAAAAAAACTGATGGCACGTTTGAAGAATGATATCCTGTGAAAGATTCATACTAAATGCAGCGATGTTGCCGGGAATTCTTCCTGATACAAGTCGTCCACTGGATATGGGGGGCATAAGCCGTCGTGCTTAGGGAAGGATATCTTCGCCCACGTTTTACCCGTATGCCTTGTGCCCATATAATGCCTCTGTGAAAGTTACATGCGAGTTACGCGAGCGCAACATACAGGATGCCACATGCTCCGTCCCATATGCCCCGTGCAACATTCGGTTAATTCCGCCACCACGAGAGGGTCTTTCCATTTGACGCCTCTCCCCAAACGGCCTCCATTTTCTTAAAAATTTTGTTCCACTTCCTTCTCGACGTTTTCAAAGTGGTTTTTTTTATTTTTTTTCCTTTATTTTATTTCTTATTCCTTCAAATTGACATCCTTAGCTTGTCACCATTTGTGTGCTCCTGCGGGAAAACTAAAAGTGCGCAACGTGGACGAGAAAAAATAGTGTATAGAAGAGCCCTCCGAACTGTGTTATAGTAGGTATAACATGTTACGTCCATCTCCACGTGTATGTTGATTCTTCAGTTTGCCCTGGCCATTTGGACCGGTTCCATTCGAAGCGCGCTTTTCGATTTGCATACATGGGCAGGAGTTTGCCGCTTTCGTGGCACGCCTCTTTTTCGCCTGTGTGCATCCCCTTGTGCATTCCCATGTGTGCTTTTCTTTTTTTTTTTTTCCCCACCCCTTCTGTCGATAGTAACCCCCCAATACGCGTGGCGAATATGCAGTAGCACAATTCGGTGCGGTCGAAAGTAAAAATTGCTATGGAGGGACACCACCGCTGTTTCCTGCATCCCGTATCAGCGCGGTAGCGTCACCAGTTGTGTTACACTGCGCATCACAGCGTGAGTGAGATCTCACGAGATGACATCATATGCGTGGTAAAAACTGCATTATAAACTTGCGCATAAGCACGCATACAAACTTGTATGAGCGACTTCCTACCCACGCAACAACCCGCGTCGAACCAATCGAGTTGCTAAAAAGCCGTGACTGCTTAAACAGAACTCAAAAAAAAAATGGACGAAAGTTTTGGATAAACAAAATTTGCTCTCGCAGCAACACGCAAGGCCATATATGGTACATGTCGGAAAAGGAGATGAGGTGCCCCCTTCGTTCGTTCGGAAGGGCAAATGCTCAACTCGTCTCTAACACAGGGTTGCCGTGTCGTAGAAAAAAAAAAAGAAAAAAAAAAGTAAACGAAAATACACCGGGAAAAAATGACGGGTACGTATGTTTTCCCTTTTTTTTTCCCCCCCCAATCCTCTGTGAGATCACTTTGCAAAGACGACACATGCGGTTTCAAGAAAAGGAGCTAAAAATGTAAAGGGGGTCAAATAGCGTGCACATGGATAAACTGCGGAAGATTATTAATCCCGCATTGCTGTAACTGCTTCTTCTGTGTTAAATGCACAGGATGGTGTTCACATCGGTGTAGGCATCGAAGGCGCAAATATATTTTGTAAATGCAACAAAAGTGCGGCTATTCCTTTCCCCATGTATTACGCTACTGAGCGATTAGGAATAATTTACACACGCTAAGCGGTTAAAATGTGTCGGTGATCAGGGAGGGAAGGGTTTTCCATGCGTTTATGCACCTGACCATGTGCTGTTTGTGGAAGTACATACGATCAAGGGGGAATACAAGAACACATACATATGTGTTTGGTACTGAAAAGGGAATGTCTCCTTCCCCCCAAGGTTGGCTTCAAAATGGAGCGTTCCACCAGTCAGTCCCACGGTGATCCTGCAAAAATGGGCTGGTGGTAGCCTACTCATCCAAATTGTTAAGGGCCGCTAATTCATCATTAAAAAAAAGCTCGTTACACCCCTTCTTGTTGGCATCCAGACATTTATCGACCCACTCACTGTAGACGTCAATGCATTCATCCAGGCTGGTAATCTGATTTGCGTACTTGACTCCGCATTTAAGGCAAGTCAGTTCGCCGATTCCTTTGGATCTGTGCCTACGAGGGGGGCGAGGTTAAGCGGATAACCGGGGGGAGAAGGAACAAAAGTGCAAGCATAACCAGCATAAGGCGTATCCCATCCCATCATGGGAATCGTGAACAAGAGGGGAACTCTTTCCTTCACTCTTCCTTACAGCTTAATGTCGACCGATTTCTTGTAGCTGCAAAATGGGCAGTTGAATTGCTTATCCAATTTTACGGGCTTCTTTTTTCTTGGTTTAACTTTCTTGACCTTACTTCTCGCCATGTTGCATTGGAAGTAAATTCTTTTCTGTTTTAATTTCCGGCGGGCAGGGGGTAACGCTAAACAAGGTAAGAAGTACTCAGGGGAAGCGTCCAACAGGGAATCTGTCAATTGCGCGTTGGTTGCTGTGTTCACTTAAGTGGGACTATGGCGTATGCGCTATATCGACTTGGCATAGCTAGCTGAGCAGGTCCAACTTGCCGGGCTTTCCCAATTGAATGGATGCAACGGCAGGATTGTCTCACGTTCAGCCTTCTATGCAACAGCTGCTTCCCTGTGAGGGAGGGGTGGTGGGGGGATGATTTGACCGTTCCGCTTGCTCGCCTTAAAAGCAAATTGGTAAATAGGAAGGTAGGCAATGCGAAATAGCGACTTGGAGAAGGCGGGTCAAAGAAAAATTAAAAAAAAAATTCATAAAAATGTATACGAATAAAATAATTTTAAAGTGCGGAAAAAACTGCGGCCATTCCATTCACTGGCGCAGCAGCGGTGAAGAGTCATCGCAGAAGTAAAAGAAGTCGGTTAGGGAATCCTGGGGTTGCCATTTTTAACACAGCTTCAAGAATGGTCAAATAAGCAACGGAGTGACCATGGCAAACGGCGGAGAAGGAAAAAGGGAAAGAAACTCCTTTTTTTTTCGCACTTGCGGAGAACGGGCGTGGGGAGCAACGCGAAAAAAAGGCAGCTGATAAGTGCAAAATGAAAAGTGAAAAGCGAGCTGAAGCAAAATCGACGGCGTGGAACTTTCAGCAGTGGACAATTTCGCGCAAGGAGAAAAAAAAATCATCAAAAAGGACTGCGAAAAAATCACCAAAAAGGACGCCAAAAAACACCGCAAAATTTTTTGCCAATTTTTTTACCAACAAATACCCGGGAAAAGTCAACCAAAAGGCACATCCCGCATGCGCTAAGCACAGCATGCACACGAATGTGTATTTTATCTTTTCCCGAAGTGTTCACAAGGACGCGTGTTCAGTCAGGATTGTATAATTTTAAACTGCACGATTGGAATGGCCTCCTGATGGGGCACGAGTGGCCGGGGGACCCACGCAGAGGTTAGATAGCACAAAAAAATTGCAAGGCAAAAAAAAAAAAAAAACTTTAGACATTAGCCCGAAGCCAAATATGCGACTTGGCAGATAAAGCACGGCGGGAGAATAGCAATCTTTGACCCTGAAGCTGTGCGGCAATGGAGCAGTCAAGCGGCGAAAAGGAAAAATTGCAAAATTGCAAAATTGCAAAATTGCGAAATTGCAAAACTCCCAACAGGCCGCACGGCCGGAGAATGCATCCCGAAGGGAAGGAGGAGCCTCCGGTGAGGACACAGATAAGACTCCTTCCCTTTTCAGACGCAAAATTCCTCATGAGCTTCACCACGAAAAAGGGAATAAAGTGAGCCTTTGCAAATATAGCTGCACTAGATAGTAACAGCGCGGAGAGGGAACGCAAGGCGAACTCAAGGTGAACGCCAAGTTGTACTGATCCCCCACCAGGAGGTATACAAAAGAAGGGACCGCTTTTATCATGTCATAATATTTTTTTCTAAAAAAAAAAAAAATAATAATATGCACACACATGTGTATAGGATTGCACATCTGAGATACTGCACTTGTTTGTGTGCCCCTCTGAGTGAGGAAAAAATAAAAGAAAACGGAAAGGTGAACTAAATTCTCACGTAACCCTACCAACTACGTGATCCTTTTCGCTCTGGAATCTTCATCCTTCCACAAAGTGACATGACCCAGTGTGAGCACACCCCTCCCCCAACTAATGAATAAAGATGACATAGACCGATTAAATGTATTCCCCCCCGAGGGAGGAGGGGAAAATGAAAATGACGAAACGGATGAGAATGAGCTCGGCAAAAGGGAAAAGTGCATTCCCATTTTGGACACGTCCTCTCCGGGGGGCAGTCATAACGAAGTCGGGGGCAGCAATCAGAGGGACAATCTTCCGGAAACAAATGATTCCCCTAAGGGGGAATCTCCAATATGTACTTTAGGCGAGGTGGTCCAGGTGGGAAACGGTGAAAACTCAGAAAAGGCACAGAAGGCAGAAAAGACAGAACACGCACAAAACGCTGAGAACGCAGAAAACACTGCGAGCATCACCAACCCAGATGACACCATGAATCGTGATCAAGCCAAGGAGGGCACCCCCCACCCAACGGAAAGGAAGGAAAGTGCTCCCCTAACCTGCAGCATAAACACCGTTGCAACGACCGACAGTGGGGAAAACGACACGACGGAAAGTCCTCCAACGGACACTCCAAATTGTTCCAATTCTATTAGCTGCATTAGCACAGTGCGTAATCATAACACACATGCGCAGGTAGAATTGGTAGAGCACAAGTTAGAGTGCATTCCTGTCATAGGCGAAGCGAAGGAAGCCAATTTTGCACCCCAGATAAATCTAGAATCGAAAAGGGAGAAGTCGAATCTGGTAGAAGCTGCCAATCCCTGTGCGATAGTGACTTACAGTGAGGAGTTACTTGCAGCTGAGGATTGCACGAGGGAGGTAGCTGATGTCGTGCGCGAAGTTGCTGGTTGCATGATTGCTGATATCGCGAATGAGGTCGCCAAGAACAGTGTTAAACGAGGAGAGCAGATACTCTCCCTCGCACGCACAGTAAGCAGTTTCCAGGCCGAACTGGTGGAAAAAAACAAAGGCACATTCGAAGAAGTTAAAAAAAGGAGCTGCCTCTTTGTGCTAGCCATCCAGAAATCATTTATGAACAAAACAGAAAAGATCCTCTGCACCAAGTGCAGCCCCCGATTGGCGTGCCTGAATGCCTGCCATGAACTTTTCAAAGTAATATTAAAACTGCAAGTAGAAAAAGAAACGAGCGAATTGTACTTGTGTCACTTTTTGGACAAGCTGAAAAGGGACGTGGAAAAGGCCAACGATACGGCGCAACAGCGATGGGCACATGAGATGACCGAGCAGATGACCCAACGGCTGACCCAGCCGCTAACCGAACAGGTAGCGAAAGAGGTGGCTCACCAAATGAAGGAAGCACAACTCAAAATAAACAGCCTAACCAAAGACAAAACAACCCTTATGGAAACCATTAAAAAGTGGGAGGTGCATTTTCACCAAATGAAAAGTGAACAAGAAATCATCCACGCCAGGGTTAAAATCAGTGTCCATACAAGCTTCCTGAATTTTACGGAGTATATATTTCATCTTCTCCTAAAGGTTCATTCTGCCCTTTGCCAGAAGAGTGACAAACTGGCATTTTTAATCAACCGATTGAAAGGCGTTGGACTTGACTGCGGAACCTCCCAGGGGGGGAAAGCGAAACGGAAGAGGAGGGGGAGGGAGGCACGTGGAGAGACCCACCACAGTGATGGAAAAATCCGTACGGATAAAAAAAAGGAAAGGCAGAGAAGGAAAAAAAGAACCGTGGGAAGAAGCAAAACTGGCAATAGGAGCGAAGGTAGCAATGGGAACCGACGTAGCAGTAGAAGCGAAGACTGCACGTCCTCCCTTGGAGGGAGTAGCCCCCCGCGCATTGACAGCTCAAGCTTCTCCAAATCGGGTAACCACCACTCGTGTAGCACCTCCTCCTGTGTATCCAACTCCAGTATGTGTCTTTCGAATGAGTTGTGCCTCTCCGATCTGACGCACATGAACACGAAGGGACTCACGGACAAAAGGGGCAAAAAGAAGGGACGCAGAAAAGTGAAGCAGCTGCTAATAAGGGCAAGTCCATCCAAGGAGGGGAAAAATAGAGCTCGCTCCGTGGACAACGCGGGGAAGGCGCCCCCCAATAAGGGGAAAAGGAAACCTGGCCATAAGGAGCTGCGGGATCGACGAGAGCGGCACCATCATCACGATAAACGCAAGTTATATAGCCGGTATAGGAAATACAAAAGGCTCTACGCCGAAGAGCTGCAAAAAAACAAAACGTTACATTTTCTGCTGACGAACAAGGTAAAACTGGCGAGAGGGGGGCGCGGCCTCTAGCGGTCTGGACCACCCCTTACAAACATGTAGCCTCCTCTGCATTGACACACGAACAATTCTACATAATGTGTACCTAATGTGTACATACTATGTACCTCCTGTGCACATAATTTGAATGATTGTTCATCCATTCTCGCAGGATGAAGAAATCGCACAAGTTCGAAGTGCACTGAAGGAAGAGATGCACAGCCGACTTCTCCTCCACGAGAAGGAAGAGAAAAACAAATTAAAAGAAATAAATGATCTGAAGGGGTTGCTACAGGATGGAGAAATAATCAATAGAAAGCTAGCTATCCGAAATGAAGAGGTGGAAGAACTAAATAAAAATTTAAAAAAAAAGCTCGACATGTATGAAGACACACAGGAACAATTAAACAAGAAGATGTGCGAACTGAACATGGTACTTAGCAAGGAGAGGAGAAAGATCAAACGGTTGGTTTCTCAAAATGGAAAAATGAAAAGCGCTCTTTTTGGATATAATCATGCAGTGAACTTTCTTGAAAGGGGGAGATATCGTCCTAATGGAAAGTGGTGCGTTAATGTTTCTCCTGCGGAGTGTATAGACGGAGATATGGGGAGCGAAGCGGACAGCAGCGTTGGAAGTAAAGAAGACAGCAATGTGGGAAGCGAATTATACAGCGAGAGCAGCGAACATTTGTATGAGGACGAAATGTATGCTCCACTAGGCACGGTGAAAAAGGTCCAAGATAACTCTACGAAGAAGCAAAGGAGGGAACTGCTTCTGCAAGGAAAAATTAAGAAAGCGCATGGGTACCCACATAACAACAGGGGAAAGGATGCCTATGGAAGGCAGTACGAGCAGAATGAATACAAACACGTTAAGTTAAACTCCTGCTGCTTTAGTGATAACTCCGTGGATGTTCGGATGCCGAGGAGCAGGCGCGTCCGGCGGGGCGGCGGCACCAAAGGGAAGCTGGGCGTCCTTAAAAAGGGCAACGGGGAAGAAGTGGAACATCAAAAGGGGAAACATCAAAAAGGGATACACCACGAAGGGTGGCAAAATGGACAGCACAACACGCAACACAACACGCAGAACAGAGACCATCAGTGTGCCCCCCCAAACAGAGACGAGCGAGTACCCATCGATGACCAAATCCGAAGAGACCTCCAAAATTTCGACGAAACGAAGTACAAAAGGATTATAAGTGACATTACGAAAGAGGAAAAAGTAATTGAAAAAATGAAAGAGGACGATTTGTATTCTATATTTATGCAGAACTGGGAGGAATCTCAATCTCACATGGGATCAGACGAAGGGACAAGAAATGGGCCCCTCTCCTGGTCAGGATCATTCATGCACCATCTGAATAGAAGCGTGCTCTGTGCCAATCAAGAGGAGAGAATCCCCTCTGGAGGGAATTATGAGCAAGTGGAAAGGGGGATAACTAAAGGGACAAAACGGGGCGACTTCACAGAAGGTAGTTACACCAACGCTGTGGATAATCTCCCGGATGGACACACAGACGGGGCCTACCTTTGTCGGGAGGAGAACACCATGGGGACAGTCACTCAGGGGGGAGGAACCCCAATGGGACATCCTTCACGGAACGAAAATGTCACGTTAAATTATGACCCGAACGGTGCAGACAAAATGCATGTATTCCCCGTGGAAGAGACGCAGATTGCTAATCGAACAGATCTGCTAAGGGGGGAGGAGCAGCCCCATGAGGGGGAAGCAAACAACAGGATGGATACTTCAAAAGAGATGAATGACTATGTTGGGAAAGACATCGGTGGTGTCATCGGTGGGGCATATACTTGCGATGTCCGGGACGGGGACCCTGACATGGGGCAGCATGGAACGAATGACATCCAAGGGAAGGAATCGAACCAACCTACCAATAACCCCCAGGGGGAGGCCATTGACGAGGGAATCTTAAAAAATTACGAAACGTACAAAAAGAACAAAGACAAATTCATTCACCTGACTTTACGCAGGAAGGTAGCGCACGTGGGAGAGGAAGATACACCCACAGGAGGAGGAAAAAAAAACACATCCCTAGCAAAAGTATTAAACAAGGAGATGCCCAGAAGGGAGAGTAAAAATTGTTCCCCTCTTTATGCCGAGGAAGAGGAGGCCTTCCAAATGGATAAGAATTATTCCCCTTTTCAAAGCGCACAAAATGGCAATCCCCTCGATAAGGATAGGGACATGCGAGAAAACCTCATGATGCATTATACATACCGGAAGGACAACCATAGGGGTGTAACCCTAGACAGCAATATCCACGATAGGAGTCACATTGCACCAACTGCATATGACAACACGGATGCGCACTTCTTTCAAACATCTGAGAGGAGGGATGAGAAACGGGTCGAGATAAGGAAGGGCAGTCTGGTGCATGATCTAGGTGAACAGAATGACGAACGGGGGGCGCAGAAGGCAAATGGAGAAGCCAAAAGAATGACCCCACTCGGAATAGCACGCAACCCACACACAAACGAATTCAGCCTACATAATGTGAACAACAGTATGTTGACTAAAAATGGTGCAAGTCCTACAGGCCATACAAGTGGTACAAGCTATCCTCCTTTGGGTGGGGGAAATTCTCCGGAAAAAAAGATCCTCCCCATGTGTGAAGATATCACTGCCCTGCATAAGGAAGGACTAATTGGGGACAGTCGCCGAGGGGACGGCGCTGCGTACTCATCGCATTCCTTGAGCATGTTGATGGGCGCCAATCGGAAGGACAAGATTGGGTGCAGACTAATCACCCCGGATGCACCAAACGCGGGTGCTACCCTATATGCGGGAACCCATTTGGTAAAGGGCGACATGAACGCAGAGAAGTTGTGTCCCCCCCTGTCACACGAGGAGCACAATACACCACGTATATGTGCTGCGAAATTAAGTGAACGGAATGGAAGTGCCACACCGACGGGAACCCCTCCAATCGAGGATCATTCACGTGGCGCAGCAAACGGAATAGTAAATCACACCCATCAGAAAGGGGGCAATCCTTGGGAGAGTAAAAACAGCGTGGGTAGTACCCACCCCAAGAATGAAGCGCTCAATAAACCCCTCAATGAAGCATTGGGGCCGTACCAAAAAGGCGGCGCAGCTGTACCAAAAACGGACTCCTGCGAAGGCGCCTCACAGAGGAAGAGTGTCGGGGATAGGGGCGTCTTAAGTAGGTTGCTCAGGAGGAAGTAATCCGGTCACTCATTGAGATTACTCAATTTTCCCCCTATCGATCGATCCATCCTTCGTTCGTTTTTTTTTTTTTTTTTCCTTTTTTTCCTTTTTTTTGTGCTCCCACGAGCAGGTTAAACGATATCACCCCCCAGGGGGCGTCGAATTTACACCATTTGCGCGTCGCATTGGAATTGTCTAGCGGACACCTCGCATTCGACAGTTTTATGTTTTTATGGTTTTATATTTTCCTGACTGCACATTTTTATGGCTTGATAATTTCCCCATTTGATAATTTTGTTGAACCCCCCTTTTTAAGAAACATTCTCTACAATGGACCGCATCGTGTTATACCTAGGGCTGGGTATCGGCTGCGTAGCGGCTGTGTGCGGGGCGCGGGAAGATACTCACAAGTGGGAGTAGAGGCCCCTCTTAGGGAACTGAAGTTGGTTTACCCCTATGTGCGCAAATGAACCAGTTGAAGCATGCGGGGGATGCAAAGAGGTGTGCCTTTCATGTGCGCACATCTGTGTACATCTTTGTGCATCTTTGCTTGGTTCGCTCTCCCCTTTCAGTCATTCAGGGGAAGGCAAAATTAGACGGTTACTATATCCGTCTAGGGGGACAAATTAAACGAACAGTTTTGTTACCTAATGGTAAAAAAAAGTTGGATGCGCATGGCGGCAAGAGAAGAACCTGAATAGGTATCCCATTTTAGCCCCCTTCTTGGAGAAATAATTAGGCGGAACTTAAAGAAAATTTGCGGCAATCAAGTGGGGGAAGGGGGCAAGTGATGAGGGAAGACCCTGCCGCGCGGGGGGAGGGGGAGGCACAAAACAAAAATTAGGAAGAAACAAATGGGGGGAAGAAAGAAACAAAAAAAAAAAGGCCAAAAAAGAGAGAAATCGAAAGATACACACTGGACGCACGCTCCACGGAAGCGATGCATAGAAGCTGTGCACACAGAAACTCCTCCCTAAGAATGCTTCGAAATGAGGACTTTAAATTCTTCGTACAGATCGGAGTTTGTCTCGCCAAATATCACTTGCGCCTTTTTCAACGTCTCCTCTCTCTTCTGCTGGTGGTTATTCAATTTCTTGATGTTCGACAAAAACTGGTTAAACTGCTCGTACGTCAGTCTGCTCCTTGCGTTTCGGAAGAAGGCTCTTCCGTCTGTGTTCTTCTCGCCTGAGGATCTGCAAAGGGGGTCGGCAAAATGGGACAATCAGAGTGGGAAGAGGCGACTGAATCTTTACTGCTGGGTTTATCAAGAAGAGACAGCCCTAGGGGGACCTGCACATGGAGTGCACACCACTCCTCAATTCGCATCCATGTGGTCACGAATGCGAAATTGCAGGGGGAAGAGCCATCCAGGAGTCCCTCCTTCCCGAATGAGACCCTTTTCCCACGCGAATGTGTAATTCCCCCCTTCATACTGCCCCATTCGACACCTTTCAACTCCTCCACTTGTTAGCATCTCCCTCGAGGTTACCCCGCTCCCATGTAGGGCGTGTTGAAATTCCCGTTGATGATGTTGTGCGCGTCCGAATTAACAATTTTGTTAATTAGGGTTTGGCAGGAGTCCTCATTGCCATTGATCTCGAGCATCGTTCTTGGTGCGGTCGTTTGAAGCATGTCGTCGGCGGAATAGTACTGCGGGGGGGAGGATCGTGGAGTGAAGGATGGTGGAGTGAAGGATGGTGGAGTGAAGGATGGTGGAGTGAAGGATGGTGGAGTGAAGGATGGTGGAGTGAAGGATGGTGGAGTGAAGGATGGT